TGTCTACAAGGAAATTCCCTTTGGTTTCGAAAGGCAAGACAACATGGGCAAAGTGTGCAAACTCCGAAAATCTTTGTATGGACTTAAACAGTCTCCTCAAGCTTGGTTTGAACGATTGACCAAGACAATGAAGAGTTATGGATTCCTTCAATGTCAATCTGACCATCCTATGTTTGTTAAGTTCACTAATGAAGGAAAAAGAGTTATTCTTATTGTTTATGCGGATGATATAATACTCACCAAAGACCACAAGGAAGGAATAAATGATTTGAAGATACTCCTTGCAAAGGAGTTTGAAATAAAGGACTTGAGATTCCTTAGATATTTCCTTGAGATGGAAGTGGCCAGTCTAAGAATGAAATATCAGTGTCTCAACGTAAGTATGTACTTGATCTACTTAAAGAAACTGACATGATTGGATGCAAACCTGCCGATACACTCATGGACTCAACTAATAAAATTGGAAGTGAAAATGGAAGCTCTCTCATGGACAAAAAGCGATACCAAAGACCATTTGGTAAGCTTATTTACCTCTTTCACACATGAATTAATATCGGGTTTGTAGTAAAGATAGTGAGTAGATACATGAATAATCCAACCAAGGAGCATCTCAAGCCTGTTCATCGCATCCTACAGTACTTAAAGAAGAGTCCTAGCGAAGGTTTATATTTTAAGAAGTCAATGGACAAGGCAGTCAAGGCGTACACAGATGCAGACTGGGCTAAATCAGTAACAGATAAAAGGTCCACTACGGGAAATTGCACTTATGTTTGGGGCAATTTGGTCACTTGGAGAAGTAAAAAGCAAGTTGTTGTAGCTAGGAGCAATGTTGAGGCTGAGTTTAGAGCAATGTCCCATGGTATTTGTGAAGGAATTTGGCTGATGAGGTTACTTGGAGAATTAAAAGTTCAGACTGTGACATCTATGACACTTTTGTGACAATAAGGCCACTATAAGTATTACCAAAAATCCTGTTTATCATGATAGGACGAAGCAAATAGACCTGGACCGACATTTCATAAAGGAAAAGATAGAAAATGGGTCGGTCAAACTAGCCTATATCCCTACAAGTTCACATATTGCAGATATTCTAACTAAAGCTCTTCCTAGAAGCACTTTTGACAGATTGAAATCCAAGCTGAGTATAATTAACATTTATAACCTAGCTTGAGGAGGAGTGTAGAAATCTGATTCTCCTACATTAGTGCAGCATGATTTCTTAATTTATTTTGGGAATATTTCTCATTTACTCTTCTGATTTAGTCAACTATTCTGATTGTCAAGTTTTTATGGATTTTCTTTTATTTTAGAATAGAATAATTCTTTTTCCTTCTATTATTTTTTATTTTCTGTTTTATGTAAGTTGCTTCCTAATATGGAACTTCACAGTTCCTATTTATCTAGATGTACTCTTTCATTGTAGTTAGAATAAGAAGAAATAAGAATAGTTGTTCTTTAGTTTTCTACACATTGCTAAGAATACTTAATGATGAAGAAGTCTAACTAGCACATCTTTAGTTGTAACATAAATTATTTGCCTCCTTAGTACTCCTTTATCATAGTGTAATCTTTCATTTGGAGTTAGTTTGGAAGAAAGTATATTTAGCCATATTATTGTGAAGAGTGGTGAGATGTTATACTAATTGTATGGTGTAACTTAAAAAAAAATCCAATTGTGCTCAAAGTGAAATGTGTTGAGATGTCATATTAATTATGCTATGACTCCACAAAAGTTCCTTTACTCTCAAAGTGTTTCTTTTGTTATTATTCTCTTAATTTAACTTACTACTTTGCTACATCACTATGCTTCATTCCTCATATTTTGGTTAGGCTTCTTGACCCTACCAAAATACCTACCACCCCCTATCATAGTGCTACCTTACTCAATTTCCTTACCATGTCATAATCTCGAACGAGGATAACCATCAACACTCATACAACATGTTTCATTTGGAGGAATGGGTATTCCATTCCCCCTCATTCCATGTGGAACAGTGATCCATTTCTTTGGTTCAAGGTAAGGCTATTTTATACAATAGTCATTCCCTTATTATTCCCCAAATTCAGGAATAACTATCCTGACCTCTCCCTAAAGAATTGCTTTTCTGAGTACATTGCAGATCCCTTTGAATAAGATTGTTGTCTTATGACCATTTTGCCTTTTTTATTTTTTATGAATTTTCAACATTGTCGAGGTGGAAAGGGGAAAAAGCAATCAGAAAATATCTGCCACATCAGTTAGATGAAGAGAAAACAAAATCTTCAGCAACCATAATCATCCACTTTTTTGCCCGTATCATCTTCCCAACAACCAGATCTGGCCCATGATAGCACCATACAAGCTCATTGGTGACAGAATATGGCTACTAGCAACATCTCATTCTCATTGGAAGCTGTGATCTCTAAGTAAAATAGATTGACCCAGATTCTTGGCTATATGATGATGTAGGACAAGTGGCCCAATACTCAATTTTCAGAAATCTCAATAAATTAATAATCAAAAGTCTCCTAAAACTACTACAACTTAGGTATTTATAACTAAACCAAAACCCTAATAAAATATAAAATACCAATTACAACCCTAAAGCCTTAACTTGTAGAAGTAAGGTAAAAAACTAATAAATATAAAATAATCTAAATAACCTAAAATAACTTAAATAAATATAAAGATCATCAAAAAACTCATAAAATATAAAATAGTCATGGATAACTTAATCTCCTAACTAGGATATCTCTGTTCTATATCACATGATCTAGCCACTGACAGCACCAAATCCAGCAAGCTAATTGCCCAATCTAGCTAGTAGTTAAGCCAAAGAGGGTCGCCAATAGGCAGTCTAACTGCCGAGAATCCATATTGACAATCGAGCCATTAATCTAGCCGCAAGTGTGGTCATTACCATCGCCAACAACACGCCAACAATCAGTTTCCCACCATCAACAATTGCTCGGAGGGAAGAAAAGAAATAGAAGCAAAAAGAAGGAAATTTTTTTAAAGAGAAGTTAAAAGGAAAAAACGAAATAAAAATAAAAAATTTATGTATATGATTTTTTTATAAATCAATTCTTATTATTTTTTAGCCAAAGGGTCAAATTGTACTTTTTCATATATTCCATATGCATTCATTGATATGGTTTTAGTCAACCACACAACTTAACAATATTCCTCTCCCATTCCATTTTATGAACCAAAATATGAAATAGCTATTCCCTCTATCTATTCTATTCAAACAAAATAGCTATTCCATTTAGTGGACCAAACATGTCATATGTTCTCTAAGATGCCAATAGAATCTAGCTCTAACTAAACAATCTAAAAGCTCTCCCTCAAAATTAACTTCAACTTTAGACTCTTAATGACTAGTGGATCTCCAAGCAAAAAAAATAAAAAAACTCTTAACAACTTGACTACAAAAATGACTCTTAGCTAAAATATTCCTAGAGTGAAAGTGATGTCTTTATCAAAGATCAACAAATAGGTTCCTCTGCTTCACACGATGATTTTTTATCCTCTTCAAAGTTGAGTTAACTATTTATGCATTCACTCACTTGTTACGGAAGAGAGCTTCAATGGAAATTGCATTCATTTGAGTTGCAGAAAGGTTAGGGCTAGAAAGTTTAGAAACAGACTTTTGCATCAAAGTTTCTGAATTTTAAGGCACCGTGACAAGCTGTTATAATTAACTAAAACTAAACCAAATAATAACTGCTATGATGCACATATGAATAACAAATTTAATGCTAATGTAACGCCAGAATACCATTTGGAAGGATTAGGTGAAAGCACACAACTTTTTTAATAAAGGTAAGAACTGATGTTGGGTTTCAACTCAAGCCACTAGAATCTGGAATTCTGGTTTTTTCTTTTGAAAGTAATGATTTGGTCATACTTTTGTTCTTCCTAATTGGAATTTTTTTCCTTGATTATTCTTTATATTTATATATATTTATATGTGTGTGTGTGTGCGCGCATGTGTGTAAAACTTCTCTTTTCCAAATTCCTAGTCTGTTTTTTGTGCCTTTTTGTAAGCAAAAACTTCAATTGAGCTCCTTACCATATTGACAGAGAATTGACGAGAGAAAGGCAGCAACACACAAAGTAGAGGGCAAGTTAGAGAGAAAAGGGAAAGGGAAAAAGAAAAGGGACAAGTAGACTCAACTCCACTAATTTAAATCTCATTAGTTGATGATCCAAAAAATGACTGAAAAATAACCAACCAAATTTACAGATTAAATCCATACACAGTCATAATCTAAATACTCAAAATATATCTCGAAATAAAAATAAACCTAATATAACCTTAAGGTGATGCTCCATCAATGTAATCAGAGTTAAAAATCAATTTAGATAATTTCACTAATTTATTACGTCTTATTGGATCTAAAGTTCATGTTTAAATTATGCAAATGTTTAAATTATGCAATCCATTAGGAAGTGAATGCTTAAGGGAGACTAGTATGGACAACATTGTGCTTAGATAAATAGGTCCTATAGTTTTTGTCTAAGATGCGTGGATGCAATTTCAATTTCAGTTTAGCAAAATGGATTATAGTACTCCTTTTGTATTTATACCACAATACTTCATGTGGAGAGCATTGAACTTAGTTATGGTACTTTTGACTATTTAAAATGACATATTTCAACTTAGCGTCTACTACACAGTATAACTTGAATGACTAAGAAAAATGATTCAAGTAAATCTATCTGCAACCAAGGGCATTATATGAATTTCATTGACATGTGTTAACCATCTTATGTTCTAAACTATTGCTTCAAGAGCCTAGGAAATTTGTTTTCCATGGAACATTGCAATTTTTTTTCTAAATGCAGGGCTTTTAAAATATTGTGTATTTTCCTGCACGTTGTTGTTCACCAGGAATTCCCAGTTTCCAAGGGAATTTGACCACCTTGACTTAAAACACCACCTTAAGAATTCCAAGCTTTTTACAATGTAGATTACATGCACTCAATAACTAGATTAAGAGTAACAAAACATTACCTGTGTGCAAGGCCTCGTGACCAAGCAAAAATTGATGCTATGCTGTTAGTGCTGGTTTCACCTCCTTTCTGATGAACTCGGTAGTGGCGGGTAACTGTGCCATGGGCTGCTTCAGCTTCAATAGTCTTTCCATCTGGGCACACCTGAAAACAAATCCAATTTCTCATATATGCAAAAAGAAAATACAAGATAAGAGTCTTGAATCATTGTTGAGGAGATTGTCATAGTAGCAAGCATTATGAAAATAATTCAAAGTTGCACATTGCACACCCACCTTAGGAACCAAATCTTTTGCTGCCTTTGATACTAGCTTCTCAAGTTCTAGTGTTTGTAACAGCTTTAAATAAATTTTGTTGGATTTATAAATATTATTTAATTAATTTGCAAATTACAATAATGCAATGTTAGTAAAACCTCTATGTTAAATTATTAATCAATGTTACATGTAAGAATTGTTTCTTTATAAATATGACTATTAGTTTTTCACACCCTATACAAATTGTCCAAAGATGTTTGCAATTAAAACTTATATCTTCTAAGAGATGATGGACTTTTTCGTCAGTATTATCGCTTCCAACCCCACTCCCCTAAGACCCACCTGCCCAAGAAGAACATGAAGGTGTTAAACTTAATATACATATCGATGCCCATTTGAAACTAGGCTAAAGAAACACTGAATGTAAAATCTCAAAAATTTTTTATTATTTTATTTTTTATTCATGAAAATTAGTCATCAATAGGAGCGTTTTCTTCAGTTTTTACTTAGTTTTAGTCATAGTCAAAGGCAAACAGTTACAAGTTTTCATTAAGCCCAATTTGAGAAAGGAAATTAAAATTGGATCACTTTTGGACCAAGCCCAAGTGGAAAAAACCCTACAAGGGCTTAAGTCAAACATACTCTTTTCACACGTTTATTCTTCTTCTTCTTCCGTGCTTCAGCCGCCTTCAACCTCCATTAGCCACCTTGAGCACTCCAATCTACCATATCTCTCTTTGTCAGATAATTACTCTTTCTCAAATTGAATTACAACTTTCTTCAAAACATCATTTTTGCCATTTTCAAGTGCTTTTAATATTTAATTCGTGTTAACAGCCTACTGCTTGGAGATGTCACAGATGATATCCCCCAAAAAGTTCCATAATGGCAGCTACATTGCGGGTGTGTGTGCATGGACATTGTTCTGTCTTTTGTGTATGTGTGTGTGGCCATTAGGTTGCAGGTGCATGTCTGTTTTTGTGTGTGTGTGAGTGGCAAAGAGAGAGAGAGAGAGAGAATATATACCAGCACTGATGTCATCAACCCAAGAGATCCAAACCCTGTCCCATGCAAACAAACTTTAAGGAAATGAAGAAAACAAATCAAGCAAAACAATAAAGCCTTTGCTAGAAGTTTCTCAATGAAATGCCTCTTCTTTCACTTTCAGAGAAGCAATTGATTATAATGATATATGAAACAGAGGTAAATTATATTAAATCACGATAGACCTTGGGCTAAGAAATCACTCTGCACGTCTCCATCATAGTTTTTGCATGCCCATACATAACCTCCTTCGCTCTTTAGAGCATAAGCAACCATATCATCAATAAGACGATGCTCATACCTACAACACGGCAATATAAGTTATGCAAGTGCAATTACTCCAACTAAGAATAAAGGCAAACTGGATACTGTATCTCACCATATACCTTCAGCCTCAAACTTGGATTTCCATCGAGTTTCATAAACTTCCTGGAATATGTCCTTAAATCTTCAGAAAAAAAAAAAAACAAAAATGGAAGATATCACTAAAAACATTGAAAAACACTTACGGTACCAAATATCAAATAAGAATCCAAAATGACAAACGAACAAATAATGCAAATTCAAACCTTCCATCATAATTCTTCAGAATTGTATTTTTTGTGCTAAGATAAAGTGGCCATTTTTTCTGGTAAGCAGTGTTCATTGAAGCCTCAGCAAAAGCTTGTATAGACTGCTTTCAATTCAAAGCCATGATAATAGTTAATGGCTTCTAGCAACCTGTTGAATCATACAATCAGCAACACATGTTGAATATGTACCTCATCAGTGTTGTACATGGACAAAGCTACACCTCCATCACCTTTGAAGTTGAAAACCTCCAGCTCCTTCTCATCACTTGTATCTGGAACTGCAAAAATTGAGATTCATGAGATAAAGTAATATAAATGAAGATGAATTTGGGCTTTTCTTCTAAAGAAAATCTGCAAGTCTATGTCAAAATACAAAACCCACAGATCAGCAAAATCTCTCTATTATAAATAGGAGATTACCAAAAACAAGCATAAGTTTTCCAGATCCTCGTACAACTAAATCAGTTGCTCGGTACTGATCACCAAAAGCATGTCTTCCAATGCAGATCGGCTTGGTCCAACCTGAAAAGCATTTAATGAATAAAAACAAATAACAATAATAATAACAATAATAATGATGAAACGGAAATATTAAGATGCTGTCACAAACTTGGGACAAGCCGAGGGACATTATTGCAGATAATTGGTTCCCTGAAAACTGTTCCTGGAGTCAAAAAAAGATGAAATAATTTGAACCATTTCAAAGCACCAAAACAAACACAACAAAATAATAATAAATAACAAGAAAACAAATAAACAGGGAACAAAATGATATCAAGGGAGGCTCATTCACCATTTAAAATGTTTCGTATTGTCCCATTAGGACTTTTCCACATTTTCTTTAAGTTGAACTCCTTAACACGGGCTTCATCTGTCAAAAATCATATAATAGAATTTAAATATATTTTTAGGAGGCTAAAGTCCACATTTGCCCCTCTCCTATGTTCACTTTGAACCCTCATCATCAATTCAGACAATTCAGTCCTCTTACATGTATGGCTCTAATGAGTAAAATTACTAACTCCATCAATTAGAAAGAAACTATTACTATGAGGATGTAGCATATTTTACAATAAATGGCAAGAGAAAATGAAAAATTTTTACATGTGTGGCTCCTTACAAAAAAAAAAAGCATTATTTAATTATCTATTTTGGTCTTTCTTCTGTTTTTTCCTTTGTATTCTCTCATTTATCTCTCTCTCTCCTTTTTACTGCCATTGCCAACCGCCAGTAGTATATCTTGTAAAACAAAAATCAACAAATTTTCTATTGGTTCACTGGAAAAAAATTTGCCATTTGACTTGCCACATCATCTTATTAAGGGCATTTCTCTATCAGAGTCATTTTACTTATTTGAACAATATACCAAAACAAGAGGGGCTGAAAATGAGGATAATTTTCACGAGAGGGATCCAGACTTCAAACATTTTGAGCATTTGATATAAAGGAGCAAGTATCCAAATAGTAAGGAAATCCATACCTGGAGTTATAGTTGCACATTTAATTGCTACATTATACCTACAAAACAAAAAGAATAAAAAACAAATGATTTGTCAAAGCAAAGAAATCAAAGCCTGGTATTCAATTGTTGCATACAAACATATGAACACTGATTTCAAAGCAATTACTTAAGAGTAGCTTGAGCGCTTTCTATGGTAACTTGATCATCGGTGGAATCACGATTATGGAGACCAAGGTCAAAATATTTGACATCCAACTCCAGGAAGGGAAAGATAAGCTGTCAAAAGCAATTGTTAAAAAAACAAAAACCCCAAAAAGAAAATGAAAAAGAAAAAGAAAAATACATTTTCCTTTATAGATTTCCAAATAACCCGAGTCATTTCATCCCCTGCGTCAGAAAATTGAGAATTTGCAGTTATGATAAACAAATAACAAGTAGAAAGAAAGAAAGAGAGAGTGGGGGATTGAAATCAGATCTCACCGTCCATCTCAACTATGGGATTCATCACCTTTATCTTATTAGGGAATGCCATTTCGATTGAAACAGGAAACCAACACAAACCCACTCCTTCTCCTAGCCTAGGCTACAAATAAGGGTCAACGGGAGATTCTTTATGCGGACCTTGAGCTTACCATAGGTTGATAACGGAAAATGGGTAAATTCCAAAAAGGAGGGTCTACTTGGAGATTGTTCCGAGGGAGCTTCTAAAATGCATGACCTTTTTTATTAAAAAAAACAATTACTAGGATGAAAATAAAAAAAGCCCATTTTCAAATAATTCAGCACCTAGCAGTTTTTGGTGCTATTTTTTTTTTTTTTTAGCAATAACATATCAAATTGATATTTTTTGGAATTTAAAATGTTTATATTCATAACTCAAATCGACAAAAGAACAATGTGATTCGGATATGTGAACTGATATTTATATTTATATATACTAGTATTTATTGTAATAACATGCTGAATATAAAATTTTAAATATGTGTTTTAATATATTTTTTGAGGGTAAAGTGCATTTGTAACCTCAAATCTTTCATTTAAGTTTTATTTTGATCTATAATATTTAAATTATTCTATAATAATCTCAAATCTTTTTAAAATAAGAATAACAAAAAGTTACAAATCATGATAATAGATTTAAAATTAGTACTCTTTACAATCATACCAAAATATATTTACTATAAAAGAAATAAAATTTTTTAAAGGCAAATGAAAGTATAATTTTTCCTTTAATTTAAAAAATTTAGAAAATTAGGTATAAAATGATATTTTAGTTTCCTTTAGAATAATTATAAAAATTTTATTTTTTAATAAATTCATTTTAGAATGATAGTAAAAACTAATAATTTTGGATCATTATCGTGATTTATTTTCTTTCTTTATTTTATTTTATTAAATTTTATTTTTCCAACATTTACAGATTTTAATAAAAATATCAAATTAATATACCAAAATAATTTAAATATTTTTATTAGTAAAAATAAAATTTTTAAAAGGAAATAAAAGTATAATTTTTTCCCTCTAATTTAAATTAGAGGCAAAAATGATACTTTATTTTCTTTCGTAATAATTATAAATGTTTTTATTTTTTTAATAATTACATTTTGTTATGATTGTAAAGAGTAATAATTCTAGATCCATTACCCTAATTCTTTTTTTATTATTATTATTAAATTTCATTTCCTTAATATTTACAATTTTTGAATAAAACATAATAAATTAAATCCAATTAAAATTAAAATTAAAAATTATTTTTAACAAAAAAGAAAGAAATGACATATCCAAATAATTTTGACTCTCGGATGGTTGACATTTATTTTCTTAAAATAATATAAAAAACTTGTTTATACTAGAAGACTTAATTAATAAAGTTCACATTCTAGCTATAATTTTAAACTTAAACAATAAGAAAAACATACTCATTTGCTAAGTGATGTTAAATGAATTATTTATAATAAAATATTTCTTTAAAAGATTATAATAATAAATAAGTTCATTGTGATAGATTGATATAATTTTAGAGAGTTTCAAATTATAATAGTAAATACAAAAATACTTTCTAAAATTATTAAGTATTATTTACTTAAGTTTAATTAAGTTTTAAAATATTATTTGGGTATGTTCATTTCTTTCTTTTTTTCTGAAAAAAACTCTAGCTTTATTTGTAATAGAATTCAATTTCATATTATTTTATCAAAATTTATAAATATAGCAAAAATAAAATTTTATAAAATAAGTATCTCAAATAATTTAATAAAATAAGAATAAAAATAAAATCATTATGAACTCAAAATTATCACTTTTTTTATCATACTAAAAAGTATTTATTAGAAAGAAAATAAAGTTTTTAAAATTATTAAGAAGGAAACTAAAATACCTTTTTTTTTCTTAATTGTTAGCAAAATTTTGAAAACTAAGAGCAAAAATGATAGTTTTATTTCATTCTTAAAATTTTTAAAAGTATTATTTATTTTCTAATAAATATATTTTAGAATGATAAAAAAGAGTAATAATTCTATATTTATTCACTCTTATTTTTATGCAAAATGTGATTAAAAAACCATATTGACATCATTTTAAAAGTTTGGACTATCATAGAACAATTTAAAGATTAGAGATCAAAGTAGAACCTAAATAAAAGGTTTTTGTACTCAAGTACACTTTATCCTATTTCTCAATTGTAATTATAAAACACAAAAAAAGATAATGTTTAATTAATAATTGATTCAATAATAAAAATCTACATCTTTTAATATAATAAAAAACTTAATTTGTGTGAAATTCAAAAATCTTGTGTTAAAAGAAAATATTAATTATAAAATAAAAATTTTCATCAAAATAAATTAAAATATAAAAAAAAGTAAAACTAATCTTGATTATATCAATCTAAAGACATTGGTTAATTAAAGGACATGCAAACCTTTTTTTTTTTTTACTTTAACTTTTTTCTATCCCTTTAGTTGACCTATTGTCTTTCTAAAAGACCTAAGTCAATTTTTGTTTTATGGCACCATAGTTGATTATGGTATGGTCCTCGGTGACTCCTCTCCCTTTACCTTTCTTTTTTTTTTTTTTTGGGTTTAAATGAAAAATAAAAAATAATAAGAAAGAGAGAGATTCGTTCAAAACATTTTTGTTTCCAAAAAATTTTGTTGTTAATTTGACCAAATCCATTCTATTAAAGGTAATGCAAGCCAACAAATACCTCTAGAAATAAAGAGAATAAAAGAAATAAAAAAATAAAGAAATATGTTACTGAACAGAGAAGAGAATCTTAGAAATTTTGTTGTAATTAAAGATGAATTACAATTGGTCCTTTATTTACTTTTATAAGTTTTTTGCACTTTCCAAAGGTAACTAATCCCTACTTAAGCATTTTATTAACTGCTTTAACATACTCTTAACTATTTGCTTATTACTTATAAAATTAGACATAAAATTACAGTCCCTTTAACTAGATTCATACTAGGCTTGTATTAATACATCTCCTTTAAGCATCCTTATTCTTAACGATTGAATCTTGAAATTTCTTTTTTAGTTTTTCAAAGCATCTTAGTCTAACGAAAATCAATTTTTTCATCTAAAGGTAAAAGTGGAGATGATGGCTACCATTACTTGGTTTCTCCTTTGTAACAATAAAAACAATAGCTAGTTGAATCATTAACAACACATATTATTAACAACATCTTTACAAAAAGACTTAACACCTTCAATTTTAGAAATTCATGCAAATGCATACAATAAACTCTTATACTTGACAACTTATCCCAAGGTCATTATCATTTTTCTATTCATTATATCCAATGGATTAAAAGCTAGGTTTTGACAAACACAAAAACCTATTTTTATTGTAATATGTGTCCAATTATTGTTTTGCAAATGGAGCAATAAAAATCATTACCACGGCTTTAAAGCAACAGATATAGCTATCATCGTACTAACTTTAGCAAGTGAATATATTATCTCCATGGTACAACCCAATAATGCTCATTTGGTACCATTCCATGACAAACTCTTATTTTAAAATATCATTATCATATTGTAATTTAAGAACCAAAACCTCTTCTTAAACACTTTAGTGATCATGGTAGTAAATTTTTCATCCTTATAAATATGGTTTCCTTATGTTTACTAATGCCACATGAGTCACCTCCAACTAAATGGTATAAAAGAAATGGTTTTGACTTTTGAAAGTCAACCTACATTTTATCTTTATCATCAACAAAAGAGATGGTTTGATCATTGTTAAGCAAATTAGAACCTGATTAGCCATTTCTCCCTCAACATGCATGATTTCATCGCACTTAAAGCCAAGATCCACTTCTAATGAAAAGTCATTTTTCTTTGAATTAAGGTAGCCATTATGAAACTCATAAAGTGTAAGTATAATAGGAAGAGAAAAAACATTACCTATGAGTGAATCATTAGGCAGCATTTTATGTGACCACTTAGTGTTGTGACATAAGACTTTCTTTAAAGAAAATGAAGTAAGTAAAGTAGGTTTGGAACAACTGAAAATTTCATAGGCATTGTCTTGTCATCAAAGGGCATATTAAGTAGTGAGAATAGTTAGACAAAGCCAGTATTAAAAGTTCAAAAGTAAGGTTGTTCACATTTACCTCAAACCAACTTCACATACTTTTGTTGGTACTTTAATGTCATTGAAAACAATGACAGGTACAAAAGATAAGTTGAATAAACCAAAACCATAAACTTTCAACTTTTTTCATTTTCATCAAAATCTAGGCTAAAAGATTCCTTTTCCAAAGGATTTTTGAAAGACATTTCATCTTGAAATCTTAGACTTTAGCAATATTGCCATTCAATTATCCATGAAGATAATTAAGATTTAAATACTATAAATTTTTAGGAAATGCAATTTCATTATTTCATAAAGAATATAGTATGCTTCCTCAAAATTAAATAATGGTTCTATATGTGCTACATCTAATTTCTACACCAAATCCCATAATGCATAATATTGTTAATCTTTAATCTTTCTTGAAGACATAAGCCTAATCAAAGTAAACCCACCAAATTCAATTGACCCACACACCAAGTTTGATACAATATTTCAAATTCCCAATAACAATGATACTTATTAGAGTTAGAGGTGATGGGTTTCAACTAGCAGCAATCACTTTTCCACTAAGATTCTCACTAAAGAGATCCATGTTCAAAATTTTAAAAAACATGATAATATCTTTCTTCTGTTAACAAACATCTAGTCAAGAAGCACACTTTTCAAAATTTTTCCCTAACAAGACAACTTCCCAATGACATTTTCGACTTGACAAAAAGAGATTTAAAAGAAGATCTCATGGCAAAAGAGGTTTGCAAAACTTTGAAAATCCTATAGCGATGGATCCTTCATTTGCTGAAGAAATGTCATTATAAAACAACTTGAACTCACAATTCCAAAACAACCCTAATATTATACAAAAGCCTAATTCAATTGACCTGTTATACTTATCATCCCTAGAATGTGATATCAATTTCGATAACCTAAACACATCAATATAGCATGGATTATCAAGAATATAAGTCCAATGCAACAATGGCATCATTGGATTATGCACATCACAAAGAACTAACAAATAATGGAAAGCCAAAACAAAATGAAATTCATCTATTCCTACTCTAAAAAATGCTATAAATTGATCCTTTTTACCTACAACATATGGGCTCAACATCTCAAGCTTAGCTATACAAATTACATTACATTGATCAAGC